AGCAAAGTGGGGCCATTATACTTCTTGATTTCAAGCTATACTATAAAACTATAATATGGTGCTGGCATAAAAATAGATACATACATCATATCACAGAATCAAGAGCCCAGAAGTAAACCCATCCATATATGGTCAACTAATATTTGGCAAAGGAGTCAGGCACATCCAGTGGAGAAAAGACAGTGTCTTCCATGAATGATGGTGAGAGAAGTGGACATTGATGTGCTATAAAGTGTAACTAGGTCCCTATTTTATACCACTCACAAAAATTAAATCAAAATAGATTAAAGACTTAAATGTTAGACCAGAAAGCATAAAACTCCTGGAAGAGACAACCTAAGTGTCCACTGATAGATGAATGGAGAAAGAAGTTGTAAAGATAGAAATACAGGTGGCTAGGTAGATAGATTGTAACAGTATTTGGCTATTAAAAAAAAAAAAAGAAAGAAAGAAATAACTTGGTCCCAGCACTATGAAGCTGTTGGAGGCTACTGCAGCACAAGTTAGCTCCTCGCTAGGTAACTGACCCACATGGTGCAGCAGACCTCTCCTGTCTCACCCACTGCTTCCCTTAGTAGTCTGTTTTAGTAGATCCATTTGTTCTGCTCCCCACTCTGTCTCTGGTGAATCCTCTCAACTAGTCCTCACCCCCAAACCTCTGGCTCAGCTCTTGTATGCATAAATAAATAAATATTTGTTTTTAAAAAATATAATGCTTGCATTTTTGATAATATGAATGGACCTTGAGGACATCGTGCTAAATAAATCAGACAAACACTACATGATCTAACTTTTAATAGTTTAAAAATATTATAAAAAGTATGACCATCACAGAAAAGAGGCAAAAGCAACCTCCAAGATGATGACAAAAAACAAGAGGAATGAGCTGTTGACTGTTGATCATCCAAACTACCTCCAGAAACCTATTGATTAACATTTGATTAAACTTATTGATTAAACCAAATCTGATCAAACCTATTGATTAAACCAAATTAGACTTAACTGCAATGAAGGGAAAGTCATCTTGATGGAAGCTGAGTAATATTTCAGCAAAGGAGAAAACCAAAGAAGGATACCTATAGAAATGTTAGGGTTTCAACTAAGTGATTTAAAGAAGAGTCTTACAAGGTGGGAATGGTTGAGTGGATGATGATTGTCTCACTGGCCTCTAAAGAGGCAAGATTCCTGGAGAGCTTCGTCAGTAAATTATTTCAGTTGCTTTGATTCCAGAGTAAGTGATGCCTGGAGTAAGTAATAAGATATTTGGCCTGGCTGTCGTAATGCTCAGTATAGGCGTGGGGAAGTATTTTGATTTTCCGTTACCCCAGCTGAGAGCAGAAGACAACTCAACCAGAGTTGGTCCAAAGCCTTAGGAAAGAGGTCTTTTTTTTTTTTTAAGATTTATTTATTCATACAGAACTGGGGTACAGGCCGGAGGTGCAGAGGGGTGAGAGGATTCACCAGAGACAGAATGGGGAGCAGAACAGGCAGATGGACAAGTACACTGCTGAGGGGAGCAGTGGACGGAGAGGTCAGGAGAGGTCTGCCGCACCATGTGGGTCACCCCCTGGGCTGGGGATAGAACTGGCACTGAAGTGGCTGTGGCTAGCTTGCAGTGCTGCATCCTAACCCATTGCACCACCAGGGAGGGCTCCAGGAAAGAGGTCTTAAAGATGCAAACTCTATCAACTGTTAAGAAACATTCTAATGACACCTCAAAAATTGAAATAGGATAAGATGGTTGATGGTTTGGGGTCATGTATAACTAATCAAACAAACAAAAATATAATTGTTTATTCGAGGGAAAAGAAAGCATTCTGCAGGGATGGAAATCATAGCCTACTACACAATTCTGTCTCATAACTATCTGTGGTCATAATAATGGAGAATAATATACAAACACCTAGTATTGACTGATCTGCCCAAAACTATATTTGAACGGGAAGATGAGAATGGACTGTGCATGCTGAAAGCACACTGGGGCTTGGGTTTGGTTTTGACTTTTAACACATCTTTTGCTACAAACTTTTTTTTTTTTTTAATTTTATTTATTTGTGCATACAGAACTGGGGTATAGGCCAGAGGCTCAGGCGTGGTGAAAGGCTTCACCAGAGACAGAGAAGGGTACAGAACAGGCAGATCGACGAAGTACACTGCTGAGGGGAGCAGCGGGCGGGTCAGGAGAGGTCTGCCACACCATGTGGTCACCTCCGGGGCAGGCGGGAATCGAACTCATGTGGAATCGGCTTTAGATTCTCAGTGCTGTGCTTTAACCCGCTGTGCCACCAGGGAGGGCCTGCTACAAACTTTTTTAGACAAATTGATCTTGAGCACATGTCAATGTTTATTAAGGGTTATATTATTTGGGAAACAACTTACATAAGCAGCTAGTTTTGAAACGTCAGCAACTAATTAGGTAAAGAACATTTGTATTCCATTTGGCTGCAGAAATATGTTCTATTAGTTCTTAGAAAGGAAACCAGGAACCAAAGGAACAGATGATAAGGAAACATCTCTGTGCCCAGTCAGTCATCCTTGGCTATGTCCAAGCCTTCTTGCAAATGGTTACATTCCAGTTTGTAAATTATATTTATTTCCTGTTTTCTATTCTCAGCATGAATCTCTATTCTGATCATCTTCACAGGAGTTCGGAAGTAACCACTTAGTTACACAGCTGAAAACAATCTCTTGGTGTAGTCTCTGAAAAAGACGGTCAACCACACCCATCGTGGTGGATTTCAGTTGTGCAGGCAGTGGAGGACGGCCCTGCTACTCTTCCCTCCGAGTTCTCAGGAAGCACTTCTGGGCGCTGTGCTCTGTGAGCACAAGGCAGCTTTCCTCTTCCCCAACACCCAATTCTTTTGATTGGTAAAGATAAAGAGTAAGAGAAATCTTCCTTGATGTTTGATTGGATTATAATTTGATAGATTGTAATTTGAAATGCATCTGATACTGACTGTCACAGCCTAACCTAGCCTACTTTAAATCTGCTTGCAACACTTCCACTCACGAACAGTTGGGCAAAATCACCTAACGCTAAGCCTACTTGATACTAAAATGTTGAGTATCTCTTGTAATTTCTTGAAGACACTACTGAACGGCTGTTGGGGCTCCCCCCATCCACATGCAGAGCTGAAGAGCACCCTGAAGTGGTGGGGAGGGGGCAGATGGGAGGATGCTGCAGCCACAGGCTGTCTGAGAAGGCTGGAGAACAGCTGGCAGGAGGCTGTAGAGTTGGCTTCGTTCCCCCCTGGGGCCTCAGTGACTGAGTGCTGTGGCTCCTGCTGCTGGCCAGCATCGCAAGAGCATCTGACCACAGGTTGCTGGTCCAGGAAAAGGTCGACTTCAAAGTTGTTTTCTATTGAAATCGTATCATCTTTATATCATCACAAAGTCAAAACATCCTAAGTCAGACCTTATAAATAGGAAACTATCTGTAGTTGACATTTGAACAACTAAGATTTGAATTAAAACCAAAAGGCTGTTTTCTGCCTACAGTAAGCATGTAAAAATAAAATACTTGTCCAGCTGGTAAAAGGCACAGAACTAATAGCTATTCTTGCTCTACACTCAGCAGGATGGGGCCATTCATGCTCACACCCTGTAGCTGCTGGACCACTGTAGGTCACTTTGAGACAGAGAAGACTAGTTTCTGTAACTGCTAGCCCAACATGGGTATCAGATTGAAAAGCCCATAAAACCTTCTGTCCATCTTGATTTTACTACTTCAACAACTCTGAACCTTACTTTGATATTAATACAGCCACTCCAGCATTCTTCGTCTTGTTTGCAAAGGTTATCTTCCTCCATTCTCCTACTGTTAACCTGCCAGTATCACTGGATTTGAATTGCGTCTCCTGCAGATGCCATATGGTTGATTGGGTCATTTTTTACACTCTCCCATTTAAATACACTCCCCCATTTAAACCATTTACATTCACTGTAATTATTGATATGTTAAGAGATAGGACTTTCATTCTATTATTTCTTTTCTACTTTCCCCTCCCTGTCTTCAAGTTGGTTATCTGGACAAACTTCAGTATTCCATTTTGATTCACCTGTATTGCGAGTGTTATGTTTATTTTCAGTGGAATTGTCATATATACATGTAGTTACCACTCTATTAGTATCATTTATCTTTTCAAGTTGAATAGATACTTAGCCAACATTTAAGTCCCTTTATTTTCTACCCCACAACCATCTATATATTGGATGTTATACTTGTTTTCTCTAGTAAACTATGTATACATACCTACCCATTCACTCAACATTCAATCTCCACAAACTTAAAATGTGAACCCCTTTCTCATACACTATGTATGCATTCCATACATCTGTAATCTTGATCTTTTTTAATATTTCTATTAAAGACTCTGACTAAAAACCAGATAAAACTCTGAGTCCATCCTCAAGATCTATATTCCTTTTCAATTCACTCATACGTTATTTTAAAAGTATTTATAGCTACTTCATGAAGCAGTTTTCCCAACTGGACCATAGCTTCTTGGCAATGGGTTTCTACACACTTTGTATATTCCTGTGGGGTCTGTCTTGATGTTCCAACATTTGAGTGATAAACAACTACAAATTCGCTGTCCTCTCTCTGTCTGCCATTTAAAAAAAATTTCAGCTGTCTATACACCTACTAGATAATACACCAAGTTTTCCCCCAAACTTCCTTTATACATTTAGCACTAGCAGCCAAAACAAACGTCACAAGGAACTTGTGAACATGACCTGTTTCAGAAAAGGCCCAAAACTTTGATGTCAAACTGATTAAACAGTTTCCTCTAAAGCACTTGGTCCAAAACACCAGTAAAGCAGCTCTGCCCCCAATGCACTGCCCTGCAGCTCCCATAACTGCTGAGCCAGGCGTCAGTGATTCGCAGGTAGAATTCTCATCTGCCGAAGCACCTGTGTGAGTCACACACACACCCTTTCATGCAACATACTGTACTCAACTATGCCATTTTGGAACACAAAATATTTATTATGTGATTTTAGTAATGCTCCTTAAGTGTTTTATAATCAATGTTTTATTCCAAATCAGAGGAAAAATCAAAAACATTATTTACATATATGTTTTAATCTCTTTTTATCACTTTTCATTTTCAACTTTTAAGTGATGGGAGCAATGAAGGACTCAATGTCAAAGTACATTCTGATAAGGTTTTTCAGGTCAATCAACTTTCTTGAAAAAATAAATCAAGCTTGTTCCAGTTCCACAAGGACTCCACCACAGTCTTTAGGATGGAGAAAAATCACTGGTTTTCCATGTGCTCCTATTTTGGCCTCTTCACTTAGACTACGGATCTTCTTTTCTTTCAAATCCATCACAGCTGCATTTATGTTATCCACCTTGTGAAAAAGAAATGAGAACATATCTGAGGTCATAAAAATAACAAATTATATGCATCATAAGTCTCAGAAGAAACTTGGGGCTCCTGAGATCTGCTGCATCTCTCCATGGGCAGAACTGCTCAGAAATAACCATGAAAAATTGCCTAGTAGTCCAGAGAAGGAAAAGCAGTTGCCAGGTGAGCAATATGATTCTTAAGAATTTTTTTCATCAGTAAACATCTTCCTGATATAACTTACAATCATGCACCCTGAACTTTACACTGTTTTCTTCTAGAAGTACTACTGGTGGTACTTTGTGTATCCAATTCCGGGACTCCAACTAGACTCTGCTCCAACTGTCGGCATGTTCTGTACGTCTCTTATGCTCTATTCTGCATATTTCTTTCATATTCTTTTCTTCTTGACTTTGGGCTCCAGCCTCTAGAATTGTTTAAGATGATAAGTTTCTTGCTTTAAGACACCAAGTTTGTGGTCATTTATTAGCCCTAGAAAGCTAATACCATGTATATAGAAATACTTCAGTTAGTGGACAGTAGATGGCGGGAGACAAAAGAAGGCTCTGTGGTGCCTGCGGTCACAGAATCAGACTCCTGAGTTCATGAGTGTGTGAGACAGACATTACAGGTTTGAATACCAAGTCCAGTGTGTGGGTATTCTCCCATTTACCAAGGAATACTCCAAACTCCAGCTGGATGTCCTACAACTCAGCTCTGCACCTGGAGAGAGCAGCAGCTGCCAGAAGGCTCAGTCAAGACGGCCCCTCCCCAGGTGTCTGGGCTGCAGGTCAGGTTGCCCCCTGTGATTCCAACCTAATGGCTATTATTCAGGTTTCTGCAAACTCTTCTTGAGATTTGATTCATTTGCTGAGTGGTCAGAGAACTCAGAGAAACATTTTACTTACTAGGTTACCAGCTAAGAATATAATTCAGGAAACGTAAGAGATAAATAGAACAGTATTATAAGTAGAGATAAACAGGACAAGGAAGGAGAAAGGGCAGAGAGCTGGAGCCCTCTCTGAGCACGTCACTCTCCTGAATCTCCAAGCGGTCATCAAGCTGGAAGCTCTCTGAACTCCAACCTTCTGGGCTTTTATAGACTCCATTACATAGGTGTGATTGATTAACTCACTGGTCACTAGCCATCAATTCCTTCTCTAGTCCCATTCCCTTCCCCCACTGAAAGCTGGGGGTGGGACCAAAAGTTCCAACACTTTACAGTCACTTGGTGGGGTCCTAGGGTAACCCACCAGCCCTAGGTTGCCTAGGAAACACCAGTGGCTTTAAAGAGCTCTGTGCCAAAAGTGGGGACAACCGCCAAACATATATTATAATCACAATATCACAGACAACATATAAATTCTACTGGCTCCACATAGAAATATGTACAGATATGTGTGTATATGTACAGATATGTGTGTATATGTACACACTTACATGTCCTTGCTGTTAACTGAGGCAACCTAGAACAATACTCCTAAGCAACACACACCCCAAGAGCCCAGATCATGGAGTCTAATGCCATACCCCATTAGAAATAACCTGGGCCCCTTGGAGAAGTGGCTGGTACTAGGATGGGGCAGGGAATATAGAAGACTAACACCTTAGAGCAGCAGAAAGGAAGGGTCGGGGAAAGAGGAGGTATGTTAAAGGAACAGGGGAGCTAACCAGGATCCTATTAGCTAAGCTAGAATAACATGAACAGCAAAATAAAGCAGCGTTGGATTATAACCCAATATATAAAAGAGATATGTATGAGTCAAAACTGACATAATGATTGAACATATAAATAACTGAATAAGTGTTCAAAAAATTAATTAATGGGGGAAGAGTATAAAAAGCTTTCATGCAGAAAAATTCCAAATAGTTTATGGAATTATCAAGGAGACTGATTATAACTTTTCATCCCGTGGGTGTTTGTCTCACACAGTGACTTCTTTCTAACTATAATATGAGAATGAGATCAAACATACAAGAGAACAACTTTATAGTGGAGAATCTCGCTTAGGTAGGGGATTAAGGTCAACATCAGCAGGGTCAGTCACAGTGACTGCTGGGATGACACAAGGGATCAGCACTTTCCTGACGTGGCTCTTCTAAATGCCAGAAGCCTAGTCTTATGGGGAGAAAATCAGTAGATAGCCTCAACTGACAGACATTAGATAAAATAACTGATCAGAAGTCCTCAAAAATGTCAAGGTCATCAAACAAGTAGAGTCAGAAATATTCACAGGCAAGAGCACTTATGAAGACGTGATGACTAAATGTATGTGGTGTCCTGGATGGGAACAGAAAAAGGGCATTGAGTAAAAATTAAGAAAGTTTGAATAAAGTATAATTTTAGTAATATGCTGCTATTGGTCATTAATTATAATAAACATATTATGCTAATGTGAGATGTCAACAGTAATTTTAAAAAGAGAATCTTAAGAGATTAACAACCATTTGTAGCAAGTGGACCTTATTTGAATTCAGGTAGAGACACTTGTGTTCAATTTAAGAAATCTAATCTATGGATTGTGTTTATGACAGTGACAACATATTTTTCTTTTAAGTTTGACTGATACAATAATGTCATTGCGATTATTTCTTGTGGTTATTCTCACAAATGACATGAAATTACTTTAAAGTAGCTTAACAAAGTAAAAAAGAAAAAAGATCAAGCACATGAGGCAAGACCATACAATGATGGAATATGAGTGACAGGAGCTCATTCTTTTTTCCTACTAATGACACCAAATACAGTCATGACGTTTCCATGGCCCTTGATAGTCTGTTCTATATGTTGTCATATAGAACATGTTCTATATGTTCAATTATCGACGTTCTATCCAAACACAAACATCTTTAATTCAGGTGATACATCCCAACTTTCGGTTTATTGCTTCTTTACTATCCCTTAAGCCAAGAAATACTTCTAAGATTTACAAAGTTATAGCTATTTTTTGAAAATACCTATTTGACATTTTACTACCTTCTGTTTCTACTACTGTTTCTGTCACTAACTTTGGTTTTAGAGATCTTGCAAGATATCCCTCCATTTGTTAAGAGTGTTGCCATAAAATATGTAGTTCTTTAAGAACACTCCTAATGTTTTCTTTGGCAGTAATAAAAAGAGTGAAATAAAAGTGTCGTTTAATTTTCTGAATTGCAAGTAGACACATTATCTACTTTAAGATTATAAGAAATACAAAGCAATTTGATTTGGGAAATTAAGTTGGTCCCCCTACGTAATAAAAGTAATAGCCAATAATAAACCTATTTTAAAAATCTGCTTTTATAATCCTTCAGACAGTTACAGCTGTGCATCACAGAGCTCCTGACGATCTCGGATACCATTAGTGAAAATCTGGGTGATTCACTTAAACATCTACCCATCTTTGTTTTTTTTTTTTTTTTCCCTGAGGAGGGGAGAAGGAGCTCATCTGTTTCTGAGGATTTATGTTGGTTTCCCCCATCATTTGTAAATTTAGAGTAAGAGTACTCCAAATAAAAATTTTTTTGATTGTCACAATCAGAATTTTTTTTTAATCCTCAGTTGTTCCATCTGAAATGGGATCACAATCTTGTTTGAAGGCAAGGAGTTGGACTAAATAACTATGAAACATCTTAAGGCATAAGATTCTCACTGGCCCAATTTTATGAGAACTAAATTCACAAGTAATAATATGTCACTTTTTAATGATGCATGGCATTTTCATTGAAGCCACACATGTAGACTTTTAATTTTATCTAAAATTATAATTGTGTTAATTGGTATTAACACTAAATGGATTCAACCCTCAATCTGACATAAATCCATGAATTTTAAAAAGTCAACAAAAAATATTTCAATTGTGTTTTCCTCAAAAACTAAAAATTAAGGAATCATGCAAACCTAACATTGTTCTCAATGTGTGTGGGTTCACCCTTGTGTATTTTTGGAAATGATTTCACAAGGGCACGCTGTTTCTGAACTTCCACATTTGCTATCTTTGCTGCTCTTGGGTATGATGAAAGTTTCCTAAATGCTGATTTCCACGGCAATTTTCACCAGTTGCTATTAAAACATTAAAAAAAAAAAAAAAGGCTAAATTTGGTTAACTGACAGGGCTGTTTTAATACCATTACCATTTCTCCTTTTTCTTCTTTACTATTTGGTAATAAAATGCACTTTCTTTGATGAAATGATATTAGCAGTGGATGAGAAGTCAAAAAATTCTTTTCTTACTTAATTACCTGCAAAGTTAAAAACTTTGCCCATCCTTTGGCTGTGCTCTGGGAAATGTCATCCTCCTCTCAGACTCCCACATGTGGGACTCAGGACACGCAGACCACTCACAGAGCTTGCACCTGCCAAAGGGCGTCAACTACCTTACCTCCAGCCTGAGGATGGAATTATTTTAAAAGTATTTTAAGTTTCTCCCTACTGGACTGAAGAACAGATATTCTCCAGTATGAAAGAGGTAAATTACCTCATTAGCCTTTTACCTTAAAGTTACGTTAAGTTTTCTTTCAGGAAGACTATTGGCTCAATGAGAAAAGATGCTGCAGAGCTTCCTTCTATCTCATTTTTATTTTATTTCCCATTAATATGTTACTGACTTCCCAGTAAACATGCTGACTCTCTCGTGTCCACCAAAGCCCCAAGGCCAATCTACTGTCCCCTCCAGCCTCTGTATGCTCCGCCCCACCCCCCAACACTGGTAACCAGCATAGTTTTCACCAAGTCCGAGTCACTTCTGTTCTATTTTGCCAGATTGTTTTGCTTGGCTATTTATATGCCACAAATGAAAGAAATCACTCAGTAACTGACTTCACTTTCGGACTATTTCACTGAGCACAGTCACCTGAAGACCCATCCTCACCGTCCCCAAAGGAAGAGCCAGCTGAGCACCCACCCCACAGGCACCCCGCTGAGTCAGGCACCTGCATCACCCAGCCCAGCAGAGCCTGCAAGGTCTACAGCCCCATGACAGACCACGAGCTAGAAGTGCTCAGCAGGGCCCTCCCCCAGACTCCTCAAGCACAAAATGCTGAGCAGAAGGAGAGTTGCTTAATAGCCCAGAGTTTGGAAAAATATACACACAGTGGTCACTGAAATGACGAAAGAAATATGTTCTGAGTAGTTCTACCACTTTCTCTACCTTTTGGTGGGGGATGTCAGACCTAGGTTGATTTAGAATTGACTAAGTTATAAGTGGCAAGACAATCCTGAAATCTCAGCAGCTTCGTGCAACAAAACTACATCCTGTTCAAGAACAGGTGAGGAATTTTGCTCCATCTGGTGGCTCAGGAAACCAAGTTCCCTGCATCTGGTGACAACTTCATCTCAAAGACTGCTGGCAACACTAACTCTCAGATGTTTCCATCTTACAGCACATCTTTATTCAGAAACGCTCGTCCAGCAATACCATTTTTTAAAAAAGTTCCTAAGGGTGGTAGATTGGTCAACTTTAGTACCCATTTTTCTACTCTTCTTTTTATTACAATAGATGCCAAGTTTTAGGAGAGTATGTAACTGCCTGGCCAGACTCCACTTGTAGCCAAGTGGAAGAGGCTGGAGCCCAAGCCACATGATTGTGCATGGCGTGAGACTTCTGGGCTATCTCTTTGAAGACACTTGCAGGGTGTTCTCTCTGCCTTCCCGCCCTTCCAGCTGATAATGGCAAATGCCACTTAACTGGTAAGTGACATGTCATGGGTGGTGGAGCTGTCCCGTCGGCATTGGGACAGATCCTTTTTAGAATGAAAAATGAAATATCTATAGTTAAACCACTTTGTTTTTTACAGATGGCAAGAAATAATGAGGAGTGGAGGGAGGGGGAGTTTACACTAATGTAGCAATTGACTGACCAACAACTTCATATCTTCTCCCATGATCTACCTTCACCTTACATTGATACACATTTCATTCCCCCTTTATAATCTCTGCTTTTGAATTTGCTATTATATTACTGAACTTCACTATTCTTTGCTTAACTGAACTTCTAACTCACATAACTGTTTCCTTTGAAGGCACAAGCTCTCTGATGTGGAACAGATAGTGTAGTGCCAGAGAGGAAGGAGTGGATTCAAAGGCAGATGATCCTGCTTCTCAACCTGTGGAGGGGGGGTGGTCTTAGACCAACCCTCTAAGTCCAGTGAAATAAAATTCAAGCCAAAATTAATGTCCTAAAAAAGGTCCTAAAGGTTAAATAGTAGGCCTTGTTCAGCTACATGCCTAATGTCTCATGGCTCTCCCCTCAATATAAAGCTCAGCTAATACCATCAAGGCAATCTGGCCCTGAGGCTAACGGTGTAGATCCTGGAATCAGAACAAATCTGGGTTGGGTTTGAACACTAGTCTTGCCATGTACGCTATGCTCACCATGGGCAAGTTAACTATCCTACGTCTCAAGTCTTTTCACTCGTCAAAGGGATTAACAGCACCCTCACAGGGAATCTAGAAGAATCAGAAGAAACAGTGCTCACCGGACACTTCATGTGCTGCTAGAGGACTTCACTGCTGTGTGACTCTGTCTTCCCACAGGCTACTACTCCCTCTGCCTGGAATGCCGTCCTGGGACAGTCATCGTAACTCAGTCGGAGATGCCTCCCAACCCCTCTCTCTTTTGTGTGACTGATAACACGTTATTGATTCTGTTTATCACAGTATACAGTAATTAGCCAATAGCTGCCCCTGCATGTCACTGCTGAATTTCAAGTACTTAGTGGTGAATACATTTGAGGATTTCAAATGCTTGCAATATGAACTAAATCTTTGCATGCCTCTAGAAATCACCTCTCTTCTGGATTGGAAGTGAGATCTAGCTATTAGTTATGTCATTCCTTCTATCAAAAGAATTGCCCTATCAAAATAATTTAAATTGAAGCCTAACTGGCAGCACTGATATTCCATGAGGCAGCTCTCTGGCCACGAGCATCTGTAGATAAAGGCTCTCTTACAACAATGTTCCTGGCTAACATTTTAGGTTTTCTCAGGAATTATTAGCAGATACAAGTCAGAAAATCTTAAAAATCATAGTAATTGAAAATGCATTTTCTTTTATAATAAGGAACAAGATATTAGAATTCTAAGGATAGAAATAATTATAACACTTAGTATGCATATGGAGAGTCTTATGTTAAAAAGTCCTTTCAGTTGCCTAGAACAGGGAAAGCAGCTGTGCTCCTGACACACCGGAGTCGCTGAGGCCAAGACCTGGTTGAAGATTCAAAACTGTGCTTTTGTAGAGACTGCTGAATCCAGACTTCGATAGCATGCTATTATATATTTTTTGCAATTTTCTAGAGGGAAAGAGAATATATGGCTTCATCTTTGAGTAGGCCCAACACTACCATTCCCCCTAAGGGAGTTAATCACGGTCTCTGGTAACTGCGGCAATCCATGGACCAACAAATAAAAGACATCTGTAACAGGGAAATCGAAAACACCAAGTGTTACAGAAAGCAGCGTACCTCGATGCAGACGTGATGCATTCCTCCTGCCTTGTTTTTCTGCAGAAAACCCGCGATTGGACTGTCCTTCCCTAGTGGATGCAGCAGTTCCATCTTGGTATTTCCCAGATTGACAAAAACAACAGACACTCCGTGCTCAGGAACAGGGACCGCGTCACTGACCTGGGCCCCCAGAACATTCTTATAAAACGCCTTGGCTTTGTCCAAGTCTGGCACAGCTATGGCTACATGATTGAGTCGCCCCAGGTTCCATACGGGACCTGGTACTTGATTCGAGGACTGTGACATGGAGAAAGTTCTTACTGCTGAAACTGGAATGTGGAGTCTGGAAAAAAGCCCTGAAAAATTGAACAGCCATTGAAACACTGTTTTTGAGAATTAATGTACTACTAAAATTAAAAGACTAAATAAATAATACATACAAAATTATTTTTATACAGTTTCTTTTTAATTATTGAAATCAAACCAGGAAGATGAATGGAAAAACTTAATTCAAAATTACTCACTCTGCTCTGCCCATTTGAGTAACTGTCTGGAATTACAAAGCTAATTCTGAGCTGCAGCCGAATCCAGAAAAATGGCATGTTTCATAGTAATCTATATTTACTGATAAAGGTTAGCAACAGCTGCACTATCTTAAGAATTTTAAGAAATTAAGAATCTTTGCTGCATTCCACAAGTTTGAATGTGAGAGAGAAATAATGGACATTCAGTGATGAGAGCAAGCAATTTTCTTCCCCACCTATGACACAGTTTTTGTTTTCTATTCTATAGTAAGTTCATTAAAACCTTAACCACACAGTAATCTTTCATGTGCATTTGATTTGATGGTCAACTAAAGGAAAGCAAGGAGGGATCAAGAGGCACTTAAACTTATATGGATTTCCTCTCAGGCCAGATTTTTGGTTTCTGTTTCTAATGCTGAAGGACAAAAGTATGGCCAAGTGTATTCCAACCCAGTACACATGGACATAAATATGTAAATGAAAGCAAATTTCACAAAAAGAACATCCAGTCCTCACTAGATGTGATATGATGATATTTTCTATTGTGTTTTATTTTAGTTTCTTATAAGTACCAGTACTACCCTCTAAAAATCTACCTTGCTGCTTTGTTGTGAAGATTAGACAGTCGGTGTGAAAAATACAATACGGTGCCAACATTCATAGTAGGTGCACAACAAGTTTAGCCATTCTTGCCAATGACGTAAACTGTTTGCTAAGAGTAGCATGCCTTACGTGTGGAGACCAAGAAACTAACTCTTGAGGATATGGTGGTAGTGAATATAAAAAATGCTAACCATCAACAAAATCACTAGTTGCATTGCCGTTACATTTTCTCCTGTTCATCTGAAACAAGTACAATTTTTAAGGGAAACCCAATATAGATGGTATTTGTATTGAGAGTCCAAAGAGAGGGAGGGTCAATGAACTTCAGAGTAATCGGCACACTAAGTATTCGTTTGCTCCGTGGAATTTTAAGGGCATGCCATCTATTGAGTTTGGGTATTTCTGACTTCTCATTCCCAGTGTTATCTCTACAGAAGATGGGGCAGCTGGAGGCCCTCGGTGGCAGTGCCCTGCTATCAGCAACGGAACATATGTCAGAGGAACAAACTAGAAGGGTCCAAGTGAAGTTTTATATTCTCTGTCCGTTTGCATTTAGGGATATTTCAAACACTCTGGCACTGAAAAGGAAGCTCAAACAACTCATGTTACTAGAAGCTTCAGTATAATCTCTTTCTCCATAACTTACTTATCACTGGATTCTAACTAGGAAAAGAAGAAACAGTTTACTAGAATTTTTGGTTCTTTTTCCTTTAATAGAACACAAAATCCACTTTTTATGTTAGAAAGATAAGAATGTTTTTATATATAACAAAATCAAGATTTTGTGGCAGCTTGTGGGTATATCTTATCTCTAGAAATGTAAGATGCTTTGAGAAAGGATATGCTATTAGTTTACTTATAAAACTTTATAAAACTTTCTCCTTTGACTTCTGTCAACTTTGTAAAAATATTTTTATTTCAAATGGTAGGAATTCACAACTCTTTAATTTTAGGTGTCTCTGCCACCCAGCTCAGAAAAGTACAGCAGAATTGTATTACTTTGAACTCTGTAATGTGTAATTTGTGACTGCTCCAATAATGGTTACTTTGCATAAAAAATTACAATATATGTGTGAATAAATGTATAAGATACTTAAAAACAGGAGTGTTCAAAAAAACAAGAGTGTAAAGATGAGTAAGTACAGATTTAGGAAACAAATGACCACGCGTGTCGGGAATCTGAAGTGTAAGTAACACATATGCTTCCGAACCTGATGTCTTAGGTGAACACTAACTTCTCTCACCTTGTAATTGTTCTCATCAAATATTTTTAGTTCCATGATTTAAAAATCATGTTGCCTTTCTTTGGACTCAGATGCACTTATTTCACATCAGACTTTCCAATGTCTCCAAATAAGTAAAGGTTTAATCACATATGTGCATTATGGACACTAAGTAGCTAAAGAAATTATACATTCACTTAGCACATGAAGTATTGTAAAACTGTGAATGACCACTTGTAATAACATTTTATTACAGCTTTATTTAGATATAATTAATGTACTATAACATTTATCCATTGGAGGTGTACAATCCAGTGTTTTTTAAAATATATTTGCAAAGTTATTCAAACTTCACATAATCTAATTTTAGAATGCACAGTAAGTTGTTAAGTCTGAACTTTTGCCTATTTGCTTTATGTAAACAACATACTTAGAAATCCAATCATCTGGAGGATCTTCTAGCTAGTTTGGCAAGAAGTCCTTAAGTTTTCAGCATTTAACCAGATGATTTCACAGCCCCACAGACTTATTTTTAACTTGTTTAAAACTATGGTGAGGAATAATTTCATACTTATAATTCTAACTGCCCCATTTATATGTGACTACATAATAAAAGTAAATCTCTCTTCACAGTCATATGACTTGGTCACTCTTGCTATCTAACAGGTTCAATTTCTGTTCTGAAAACTAAAAACTAGCCTTTCATAAAGCCAGTCCTTCCAACTTGTAGAACTTGTGTGCTTAATCTGATCTAGTTTTCTGAGCTTCTCCTGCTTTTCAGTGAAGACTTAATGTTCCTTAAATGCAGGGCCTTAAAACAGAATTACCACTTCTAGGTATGCGTCAAAAAAACCTGAAAGCAGGGGTATGAGGAGGTATTGATATAGCCATGTACATAGTTAGCTGCATTACTCATAACAGCCAAAAGGCAGAAACAACTCTATTGTTCAAAAACAAATGGAAAGCTTAAAGAAAATGTGGCATGCACGAACAATGTAATATTCAACTTTAGAAAAGAACAAAATTCTGGTACATGCTAAAACATGGATGAACCTTAAAACCACGTCAGTTATAAGGTCAAAATATTGACATAGAATAGTCAACTTCATCTAGAAAGTAAGACAGTGGTGCCAAGGGGGCAGGGAGAGGGAGTAAGGCGGGGGTTACTGCTGAATGATAGAGATTGACTTTGGAATGACACGAATTCTGGAGACAGAAGGTGGGATGATCACATACAGATAGGACACCTAAATATGGCTAACATGATAAATTTTATGCTATTCCTATTTACCCACAATAAAAGAAAACGTTGGGTCCTTTAAAATTTAAGCATCAAAAGTGGTAGGATAAATGAGAGCCAACTTATAAATACACTATTTTCTTTTAATTTTCCTTTAAGCCAATATGTGTATGGTACAAAGTCACACGAATCATTATCAGTATTCACTCTTGCAACAGTTTTCTAACTTGTTGGAAGTTATACTCCCTTCTTATAACAACGATTACATAAAAGTATTTCTAAAATTATACATATATTGATATATAATATATTTCATATATATTAAGTATATAAACTTATATACATAAAAAAGCCTTTGCTCTAATTTCAAATTACTAGTTACATGCTCACCTTCAGGTTTTGTGTGTGAGGTTTGTATTGTGTGTGAGGTTTGTATTGTGTGTGAGATTTGTATGCGAAGCAGTGGGCCTATGGCTGAGAGTGGGGCTTTTGGGGTAGGCCTGGTCGAAATCCTGAGCTAGCCCAGTTGTGTAACTCTGACCCTCTGCTTACCCTTTCTGTGCCTTTGTTTCTTCATGTAGAAGATAGTGATCTTCACAGGATTGCCAATGAGGTTGAAAGGAATAGTACAATCAAAGGGCTCTGAAAAGTGCTTAGTAGAGAGTACAAAAAACATTCCAAGGATTATCAGTGTTTGCACTTTTAGAAAAGTGCAGCAGTAACCTATTTATAAATGTAAGCATTTCTGACTTCTAAGACATTTTAGTTTATATCTTTAAAGGAAAAAGGTGATCGTGTCCTTACCCTATACATGGTATTGCATTTATGTTTAAAATCCTATTAACTAATAAACTTGCTGTTATGTTTCGCTATGTTTTAGCGCACATGGTGTTGCTATACTTATTACTGTACAATTCACAACATACTAATTTTTATGATAAGAAGACTGCTCGTCTTTTCACTCTGGAAAATGTGGACTAATTTTAGAACACCTTTGGTAGCATTTCAGTATTTAGTGACCACTGGCATCCTACTGGAATAATGCTGCTGGTTATAAACATGTTCTTTTTATTGTGACATAAGAATATGAATTTACAGTTTTCCAAGTTAAAGTTAGTTACTTATAGTAACTTTCCAATTCACCCAAACTGCCACCATTTTTGTTTTACCCTGGGAAGTTCTCTTAATATCATATAGAAATAGAAAGCACATTTGTAACATTTGCCTTTCAAGAACCTATATGCTGGCTATTATCCTCCCAAAAGGCCCTGGTCTCTAGTCACCTTCCATACTGCCGGGTTTTACCAGTGGAGGGCAGAATCTCACAGCATAGCATTTTGCTGATTTGATCTCACCTCCCCAGTAGAAACCTACAGGTTTATTCTGTTAGAGATCAATACCACTAAGTAATCTTGCCCAAGCAGACTGTGAAATACATGATTTGAAGTGGACTGCATCGTGTGGTAGTTCCACTCTGCCTCAGTCTTCATGGTCATAGAATGGAGCTAACAGTAATAGTTCAGTGAGCACTGTAAGTCTCCCAGTAACTCCATGGAACAGGAGGTGCTATTTTCCTTACTTAGAACAGGGGCGCACTAAGTGGCAAAGTTGGGTCTCAAGCCCAGGACTGTCTGACATTAAAGCTGATGTTGCTACACCATTAAGCTTAACTTTTCTTGTTCCTCTGAAATTCTCCGCCGTTCTTTTGATTCTTAGTATCTGTAGAGTATGTTCTATGAGCACTATCTACTTTCAGAGAAGGCGAACAGATAAGCAATGACTTGACTTTTTTTTTGTTTGCAGATACTTATAAGGATACATGAGCTTAGATGCTGACTTGTAGTTTACCAAGGAGAGGAAGGAGAGGCCAGGATGGTGTGCTAGTATTAAAAACTGATGAGTGCCTATTAAATAGACATTTATTTTAATAAACTGTGCTCGGCCTGTTATATTTTTCCATGTATACATATCAGCTCTTTAAACTGATGAAGAGCTGAGACAGAGAAACTATTATAGATGACTTTGAGCGTCTCATCATAGTCCTGGTGACTCGTGTTGGCAGCTGTACAAGAAACTTCGTGATTAGCAAGAAAGACAGTGATCAACAGAGAGCTGGTTCAGTTTGACATGGAACTTCAAAGAATAAGTAGAACTACAAGTCTCAAAAGATGGACTAGAAAAACGTTCTAGGAGAGAAATCTGACATTAAGAATTCATCCTCGTTCACGTTCTGAAGGCGCTAAGCTGAAGAATTTATCATAAGTGTTCTGGAATAATGTTCTAAAGTCAAAATGTTCTGAAGCATTACCTCTTGGTATTTTCTTTCTAACAAGGAATCTCAGATTAAGAGAAACAGCTGTTCTCTGATGAGAGCAGAAGTGGAGAGAGAGAAAAGTAGACTGACAGGGGAGTCAGAAAACTAGTTATTGCCATTGCTGATCTCGGTAGTCAGAAAACTAGTTACTGCCATTGCTGATCTGGGTAGTCAGAGAACTAGTTATTGCCATTGCTGATCTGGGTAGCTTTTTGTTTTTCCTTAAATAAAGCTGGAGCGAAGTCAAGGCACCTTTCAAATCTGCTTGCTTTTATCTTCCCTGTTTACGTACAAACAAGAAATACACTAGGGAAAAGCGCCCCTCTGACATTCCTAGAACAGCTGACCTTCAAGTGTTCCAGCGGGGTACTGGCCGCGCTTGAAGTTCAGCGGACAGCGCTGCCCAGGTCTCCCCTCCCTCCCGGGTTCCCCCCAGTCTCTCACGGCACGTGCATTATGCCCCTCTGCGTTTACTCCAATTACTCCGTCCCGTCTTGCTGCCCCTCGGGCAGGATCCCCCGCCTCAATGGGGCCACAAAGGAAAAGAGGCGATGACAAGTGGACAACTCTCCCAGGGAAGCCGTGGGACTCAAGTACAATGTAAGAAAACCCCGGCGCTAACCTGAAGCGTTCGGGGAAGGTAACTTCAGCCTAAAGCTGCTGACAGCCGCTGCAGAGCGCGCCTCGGGGTAGGACGCAGCTCTAGGCGTTCCGGCCCCAGCGCGGCGTCGCCCTGCCCCCGGCTTCCCGTCCCGCGCGCCCCGCCCCCGGTGAGCCCGGACAGCGCGGGTATTCACCTAGGGCGCTCGCAGCCCTCGCCGCCGCCTTCACCACGCGCGCCATCTTGGAGAGCGACCTCTGACAGAAGAGGCGCGTCCGAAGGCGAAGGCAGCTCGGCGAAGGGCGGGGCAACCTGGCGGGGGCGGGGCAAGAGCTGAGGGGCGGGGACAGGCGCAGCTAGGGGGCGTGGCGAAGGGTGCTGCCTTCCGGGGCGCTGGGGGCGGCCCGCTCTTCTTTTAAAGCACGACATATTGAAGCCACCTACTGCATTTCAAGAAGACACTAACGTTAGGACGAGTCACCCTTTGGGAGTCCCTCTTAACGGTCCGTTTGGAGAAAGTTTAAGAGCGCCTGGGCTGACCAATGGCTGTTTTCAGCTGCCTACCCCGCCCCTTTTCACAAGCCCAAAGACAGTGCTCGTGCTGCCATTGGCTCTTGGAAGGGGGTGGGTCCGGAACTTCCGCGTCGCGGAACCTTTGCCTCTCGGCTCCAGGTTGCGCTGGGCTCGTGTTTTGGGGCGGTTTCCGGGTATCCCGCTTCCTTGCATGTGGTGCGGTGGTTGGAGTTGCTAGCGGCGATGGCGCTGAAGGACTGGCGTCGGCGGACGCTGCAGCGGTGTCTGAGTGAGGTGGACAAAGCCACGGACCGGCCAGAATGCTTCCTCACGTAAGTGCGCTGGGTCGGGACTGGGAGTGCGGCCCCGATCGCACGTGGGAGCCGGTAGCCGCCCCCAACAGGTTCTGGAGTAGAGTGACAGTAAAGGCAGTGCAGATCTCTTTACCCCAGATTTCACATGTCTACGCTAGGAGTCTTGTCAACATTTTAAAAACTGTCCGAAGCGGCGCAGTGCGATTCTCCCAGTCGTGTGCTGTTGAAATCAACCCAGACTCACTTATTAACAGCCAAGGCCTCTCTAGAGGCATATGCAACGCCCTCTCCCACCCCTCTAGTTCTCTGTCGCTTGGCTGCTGTTACTCCCAAAATGCTCAGTGTTTACCCACCATCATACTCTATTAGTAGTCTGTCTCTTCAACCCCCCCCCCCCCGCCGGAGCTTCTTGCAAATTAGGAATATCTTCTCTCTACCCAGCACAAGTTCGTTGTGTTTTGTTGAAGGACTTAAAAACAATCTATGAAATTACGACTCAGATTTATACCTTAAACTGCAACCTTTCCCGTGAACCCCAGGCTTACAGTAACTACAACTGTACATGCTCAGCATCTCAAATTTCTTGTCCAGAATGAACTGTTCTATTTACTCCCCTATAACCTGCTCTCCCTAAAAATCTTTACCCATGTTCCATCATCTGTCTTCCCCATCTCTGTAAATGACACCTCTGTCTTCCCAGACATTCAGATATGTAACTGACTTCTTTGATGGCCTTTTCTCATTCGAACTCTAATTCATTAGAAAATGCTGATAGTTCTATCCCTAAGCTGGTTTGTAAACTAGACAACTTCTTGTATCCACTGGTCCAACCCTACCAACTCTCCATCTTTTGCCTGGAAGGCTGTATTAACCTCCTGATTACTGTACCTTCATTCCTTTTCCTCTGTGTCATGTTTCCAAATCATAAAGTAGGTTATTTTTTCCCTTTGTTTAGAACCTTCTAATGACGTGTCTTTACACTTAAAATGGCAAACTCTTTCCTCATAGTGGTACAATTTGGCTCCCACCTACTTCTCTAACCTTACTTGCTACCTTCTTCCCCAGCAGTAAAGACCATGCTGGCCTTTGTGTTTCTCAAACTCACCAAACTGATTTCCATCTTAGGAAACTTGTTCTTGCTGCTTCTTCAGCCTAACGTATTTTTTGGCCTAAAATATTTCCAGATTTTTTTAAAGACTGCCTTCTTATATTTAGGTTTTAGATGGGACATCCTCAGAGAAGTGTTCTAACCACTCTTAAAGCAAATGTTGACCACTGGCTAGCTGATGAGTAGCACAGTATGTAACATAGTGGAATTGAGAAATTAAGGGTAGAATTCAAGATATATTTATTTCTAGGTAGATCTGTAACAGTTTCCCACCTAAAATCATTGCATCAGGTTCACAGATAATTATGTGTTATTTTTTATATATCAGTGTGGTAAGTTAATATACTCTTAAGGGTCAGAATTTATACTAAAATTTGCCATTTCATTCAAATTTGATTTTGCATAAGAGTTGGGCTTTTTTTCCCGTTTAATTCAGAGTGCTATGCCATTATTACCTATAATTCTAAATTCATTTAGCTTCCTCCCTTCTGCCTCCTTAATAGGGTTCAAGATGGATTGGCATCAAATTTCACTTCTTTAACAAAAGTACTTTATGACTTTAATAAAATAATGGAGAAGGGTAGGATCCGTGGAAGTCCTCTACAAAAGATGGTGATAGATAACTTTGATGATGAGCAGATTTGGCAACAACTGGAACTGCAGAATGAGCCAGTTTTACAGTACCTCCAGAATACAGTCATTGACACCATTGAAGATGAAGACATCAGTCTTCTCCCAGAGACTGAAGAGCAGGAGTGTGAAGAGGATGATTCCCCCCAGGAGAAGAATGGCTCCGGGGTGGAGGAGGATGGCTCGGAGATGGAGGCTGATGGTCAGGAGGACCTAAAGCAAGATTTGGAGGAGGAAGACATGGCAGACCTGAGTGATGATGACTCTGAAGCGGGTGAGAAAGCTGAACACCCAAGCAAAGTTGATCTGAGAAGGAGCCCAGATTTCAGTGATGAGGATTCTGATCTTGATTTTGATATCAGCAAATTGGAAAAACAGAGCAAGGTGCAAAACAGAATGCCTGGGAAATCAAGAGAAAAGTCTATAGTAGATGATAAATTCTTCAAACTGTCGGAAATGGAGAACTTTTTAGAAAAGATAGAAAAAGAAGAGGAACAAAAGGATGAGGATGAGGAGGAGGATGTTAATTTTTTTGAAGATCTTGATTCTGATGAAGATGAGGGAGGATTGTTTGGAAGTCAAAATCTTAAGGTAAAGTTTTGGGAGAAGAAAAAGTACTTCCTACTTCAATTTAGGTATTGCTCTGTTTCTCAAAAAGAGGTTTAAAATAGCTCAAAATCTACCAGGGATTCAGGGAAATTTTGCTTAGGTCAGTTGAAAAAAAAAATGGCTAGAAAAATTAAACTGAAGCTTTCCTTTGCTTTGTAGCTTAAGAAACTTAATTCCACATGGTAGAGATACTCAGAATTTCCCCTCAAACATGAAGGCAGTTGTATACTTTGCAGGAATGTTTTAGAAATAATTGTAGTAGATTTAGAGATGGGAATATTGTGCTTCTTATCAATTTTGTCTTACTTGTCTTGGCACAGATGTTCTCATGACTTTAAAGTAGTTTTATGAGTTGCTGTTTTTTCTTAGTCAATAACCTAAACCTATACGCATGATTTAATGTATTTTCTTATCCTTAAGTAAAAGTAATAAGTATTTTTGTTGTAGTCAGGTAAAAGTTCTAGAGATCTGAAATACAAAGATTTCTTTGACCCAGTTGGAAGTGATGAAGACATAGCTGGGGTTCATGATGAGGAGCTGGTTTCAAATAAAGAGGAAGAAATTGCTGAAGAGGGAAAAGAAAGCTTTTCTGAAACGTGAGTATTCTGAATTGTTGTTGATGTAATATAATTGTTGTGCACCTAATCATACATACACTTATATTTGTCAAATGAGTATTTGTTTTAAGTTAGATTTGCTAAAATCAAACAGTAGGCATCATATCCTAACATCATATGGCATCAAGATAAACAGAAGAACGTCTGGACATGAGGGATGTTAGTGATCACCTAATGGAGAAAAACATCACTGGCAATAGAAATCAACCTTTATTACAAGGAACTTTGACCTCTTTTTTGTGCCAGTAAATCCTTTATAGTTATTTTTGTGAGAGGAATTTTTTTTATAGATTGATGAATAATTTTTTTTGGTATGTTGGATACATGTTGCCTAATTCTTTTGCTCCTTAGTAATGGAATGACTTTAGAAGTGCTGACAATTGAGTTCCTCTAGATATACTAAAGAAGAGCTTTTATTACTAGAAGATTTATTTATTTCCTTTTTTTTTTTTTTTTTTTTCTTGAGAAAGATAATATATTTCCTTTCACTGTCTTTTGGTCTTACAGGGATGAAGAGAGTGACCTTGAAGAAAATGAGGACAATAAGCCACATAAACAAAGCTTGAAAAGAGTGACCTTTGATTTGCCTGACAATGAAGAAATTGAAGACACAGACACTTTAAATGTAAAAAAGGATTCTGATGAAGTTAAATCATCCTTTGAAATAAGACAAGAAAAGGTAATTTTTAAGAATTTAAGGGTTTTTGCATGCTTAATATGTCGTGATTTTCTTGGGGAAACATGAAAATCATCCTTTAAAAAACAAAAAAAATATTTAAAACTGCTACAGTTTTAAAACAGTAAGTATATAGTGGAAAGCAGCTAATTTGCAAAAATCAGGGTTTCGTTTCTGAGCTGTAGCTTTCCATTCTGACCCATCAGTAAAACCCGTTTCTTTCTTCCATATCTGGTGTCTTCGTGCCTGAGGTGTGTCTGTCCTGACTGCTGTCCCATGAATCTCTCCTTGTAGGTGTTTCAGCAGCTCTGAGGCTATCCTTTTGAGGTGCTCATAGATAACTCTTGTGAGTCCTACGTAATTTGAAATTTAATTAAAATCATCTCAAACATGCTTGTTATAGTTGGTACAAATTACTTCTTTGTGACATTTCAGAAGAATGAAATGTCACATGTAAAGAGTGAAATAAAGCTTCCAAATTTTTTCTCTTGTGACATTATAATGTGAATATTTAAACCTGATGAAATAATGTTAACACACACACTCATGAATAGCGGTACAAAAATTCAAAATTGCACATTAAAAGAATAATACCACTACAACGGAGTGTGCCTCATTCTCTTGATTTGGAATTAGAAATTCTATTAATTGCATTCTTAGTTGTAATAGGTATCTATATGTAAACTATATGGTCACCTACACACGCACACTTTAAATAATTCAATGTCCGCATCTAATTATTTTACTCTTAGTGAAATACAAAGGTATTCAAACCAAAGGTGCTTCATGGTGAAGTTTTATGACTATTTTTTTTTAAGTCAAGGATATGGCAATACCCATTATTACTATTAGCCACCGTAATTTTACATTTTTCAAGATGTGTTAGCAAGTGCAACTACAAAAGGAAAAGATAGGAGGCAAAAAACCAGAAGTAGAACAAGCATATGAACTGAAAAAGATTGGGAAACAGAACTCCATAAGACAACTGGGACAACTGACACGTAGTATCCTTATATCACTGTAGAAGTGAAGAGAATTACAACTTGGTTTGTGAAGTCAAGAGCCAAGCTAATGCTCTAATCAAAAAATTACTTGATCTTGGAATGCTCTAGTTAAAAGTAATTGTAGATAGATCATTTGTCTAGATAGAAGCAGGCCTACAATGGTGTAGTTTGTTCCACTTCCTTTCATTATGTCATTGATGAGGAAAAACAACCCCTGCAGACATTGAGCTAAATATTAATGACGTTAAGTGAGGACTTGTTGGATATTCTGAGGGCATTTAATGTGTTATAAATGTGACATTGCAAATAAGTGGGAAAAGGAGTCATCTGTAGCTCCTGTCACCCCACTAAGCAGCAGGAGAGCAAGTCATTATTGGCAGAATAAAATGATGACAAAAACAAGAATTGTATTGAGGTTCAACAATACATTTCTTGCTTGACTTCAGAAATCCTGTTTGCTTTTATACAATAAACTGTTTCTTTTCTTTAAATGTGTGATAACTCCTTTTGTTACTTTCTTAGATGAATGCAAAAATTGCATCTTTAGAAAAAGAGTTGTTGGAACAAAAACCTTGGCAGCTTCAAGGGGAAATAACAGCCCAAAAACGACCAGAGAACAGCCTCCTGGAGGAGACCCTGCACTTTGACCACGCCGTCCGCATGGGTAGGTGTGCCCTGTGGGCCTCGAGGGTCAGGTGGGGTTCTCCCTGCTGGGCCTTCTCTGGTTCTGTTTCACAAAAGACTGGGGGTGATGTTTTTACCTCAACTTCTTATTTTGAAAATTTGCAGACATACAGAAACGCTTTAAAAAACTTTTCATTTGTGTGCCATTCAGCTGGATTCTCCAATTGTTAAGCTCGCCTTGTTTACTCTGTTGGTGTGTTTCCCCCCTGAATCTTTGAAAATTGCCAGGGTTATGACAGTTCACCTGTTGCTGCTTTCACATATCTTCTAGGAACTAGAACACTCTCCTTCATCCACCCAAGAAATTCTAGTACCATAATGATGCCAACCTGACCTCGGCCATCACCAGACTTCTTGTAGTGCTCTGTTTACAAGACTCTTCTGTCAGTTACTGTCTACTGAATAGATTGTGAGCTCTAGCCAGGAACACTCATTACTTCACCGAGCTTTTTCTTGTACCTGTTAAGTCAAAATGAATTTCCATTTTATTTCAGTGCTAAAGAGAATGTGGCTCTCACAACAGGATTGAACATTGGAAGGACTAGTTAAAACAGGTGTCTCCTTCCCCATTTTCTGAACTGAGGAGGTTTGGGACAGGGCCCAAGAGTTCACATTTCTGGCAAATTCTCAGGTGCTGTTGATGCTTCTCATCCAGTGACCAACCATTTACATCAACCTAATGAGCACATACCATATTTCCTTTAGCACCTGTAATCACAGAGGAAACCACTCTTCAGCTAGAAGATATCATTAAGCAGAGGATAAAAGATCAGGTTAGTAAGAATGAAATATAACTGAATTTAAAATTCCCTGAATGTTTGGAACTAAGGGGTGTGCTGTGAGAGTGCATAATGTTGCTCATTTTAATAGAGGGTTTGTGTTTGTCAGCTCTTCATTTGAAAGTCCCAGGCGCTCCTAAGCTTTTGCTGTGAGCTGCTGCCTTTGTAGTGCCTGAGGAGAACGGGGTAGCTGGAGCCCCTGTCGGTCTCCCTGAACTTACTGACACCCGTCAAGTCGCGCGGTGAAGCTGGTGGAGAGTGGTGGGCGTAGGAGCTGTTTTCTGACTGATGTGGTGGGGCTTTTGGTCTAGGCACAGTATCTGGTATGCAAAATGACAGGCCTGTTTTTTCCAAATGTAAAGATTCTAGCCACGAGATTTTGGTTTAAAATTGGTCTTTGTATAGGTAGATTAAAGCTTATATATATGATTTGTGTAATAAAGGTTGACTTTATATAGCATGTATAATATTTGTTTGTACTTCTGTGTCTAAAATAGGAAAGGCTTAAAGGGTTGCTACCCTTAGCAGTGTCTCTGAATTTGACATGAAACAAGGCAGATTTGATTTTGACTTTTAAATAAACTGATAGGAAAATGTGCTATAGTCAAGGTTGGTGGCCTTACAGGGGAAAGACGCTTTTAAAACAAAACAAATGGGGAGGCACAGAGAGGAAAGAAAAACAAAAACAACCCAAAAAACCAAAAAGGATGTTTGAATAATGTCTTTGATTTTCACAATATTGACTCTGAGACTTCAATATTCATTTCTGAAGTTGAAAATTTCCTTTTTGCTGCACTTTACTTACTCGCAAATGTTGATAGATATTCTAGAGGAAGTCTTACCATCTTTAGAAGAAATGATAGCTTTACATGCCATGTCCCTTTCACGTCTGTTTCAGGCTTGGGATGATGTAGTTCGCAAAGAAAAACCTAAGGAAGATGCGTATGAATATAAAAAGCGTTTAACATTAGACCATGAAAAGAGTAAATTGAGCCTTGCTGAAATTTATGAACAGGAATACATCAAGCTCCATCAGGTAAGGGAGGCACTGAGGAAAGCCACAGTTGGTAAAGGAAGAGGCCAAGCAAGAACCAGCCCTCTGGGTGCTTCTGTGACCTGGAAGTTTGCAGAACAGAAATTGGGAGCTCTGGACTCCTCTTCAGTGTGAAACACATGCTAGGAATAGAGGGGTTCCAAGTTCACATTGAGCTGGGGGGGAGTTTGCGATTAGACACGAGTCACCCACTATTTTCACAGCCAGTTAGAACCCCCAGCTCTAACAGTTGTGCCGCAATTTGGAAGTCACTGATCTTTAACATTTTGAAGTTACTGATGTTTTATAAGGTCTGAATTCGTTCAGAATTTTTGGTTGGTAGGGTGCTTTGTTTTGTTTTTATTTAGATTCTAAAAGATCCTACCAGATTTTGTTAGTCACTTAATAGCAGCAGCAAACAGTTTTCTGATTCCACTGGTCTCACGTTGTTGAACTTGAACTCCTAAGGAAAAAACTGCAGAAGAAGAAAATCCAGAACACAAAGAAATTCAGAAAATGATGGATTCCCTCTTCTTAAAATTGGATGCCCTTTCACACTTCCACTTCATCCCTAAACCCGTAAGTGTGTGGCATTTCAGCGATAGCTATAGCAGATGTGACTTAGTACCTCTTTGAACTTTTTTTTTTAAAAAAGATTTATTTATTTATCCAGACAGAACTGGGGTACAGGCCAGAGATGCAGAGGGTGAGAGGATTCACCAGAGACAGAGTGGGGAGCAGAACAGGCAGATCGACGAAGTACACTGTTGAGGGGAGCAGCGGGCGGGTCAGAAGGGGTCTGCCAGCCATGTGGATCTCCTCAGGGGCAGGCAGGAATCGAACTCATGCAGGGATTGAACTCATGCTTAAGAGGCTTAAGCTTCTTAGTGCTGTGCGTTAGCCCGCTGCGCCACCAGGGAGGGCCTTCTCTTTGAACCTCTGTGAGATCAGTCCTCTACTTGGTTTCAGGGTACATTAGCAGGCATTCCTCCTCTCCTTTTTAAGTTGTAGGCTGGAGTGCATGTTACCAAATGAATAATGAACGGCAGCTCAGGGGAGGAAATGATTTATTTCACACAGATGTTTTTCTCTAACTGGGAGTCCAGGCCTTTGTTGTGTTTGTGGCTTATCTCTGTTTTGGGGGCCAGGATCCAGAGGAGGGCGGGACTGTGGTAAGGAAAGGCGTCCGTGATGGGCCGTGTGGGGGAGCCCTTCCTCGTGAGTGTCAACCCCGAGTTGCCACAGGCCCGCGGTGTCCTGCACCCCTACGCCCGGCTGACGGGGCCCCTGCCCCTGGTGGCCCCTCAGAGGTGTGCGAGGACTAGTGTGAGCCCCGCGAAAGCGCCATGACTGGTCGCCACTGCCCTCTCTTTGCCTTGGTCAGGGTGAGTTTCTTGGGCCATTCTTGGATAAAGAAAAAACAGCAGGTGGCCCTTCGGGTCGCCGCTGCCTTCTTTCCTTTCTCCTTGAATAGTTTTCATGAAAAACGTAAAGGCTTTATTTCAGTAGTGCTTTAGCTTTCCCAAGCAGTTTGATATTTCTGTTTTTAGTACCTGAAGGTGAGAAAATTTTTTATCAAGTAGTTTATCTTCACTCTTGTTTGGCAAAACATTTTCCTTGTGACTTTTCCCATATATTTCTTACCGCCAGCCTTCATTCCACAACCAAACGCAAAATGATAATATTCACAGAAAACAGATTTTGTTAAAAGTCAATAGGCTTGTTTGAGAATGTCCATATTCGTGGCAGATGGTAAGCGTTTAATAACAGATGAGGAGCTGGTTTTGGGTGTGGTAGAAATGTCATGAAAAGTGCAGAAACAAGTGCTGTTGGTGCGGTGTGGAGTGGCAGAGCCCCAGAAGTCTCGGAGCCGTAAGGGCCTTCAGGCAGCCGCCTGCCGCCAGCACTGCTGTGCTCCCAGCTAGCACAGGGCGCCGCGTCAGCACTGCTCACGTTTTAAAAAATCCCGCAGAGTGTTTTGTATGTTGTACTAGAAAAGGGTCCCGTTGAGGTAGTTTTACTAGGGTACCTCTGATTTCCTGCTTAAACACCGTATTGTCTCTTTTCTAGCCTGTTCCGGAGATTAAGGTCGTGTCAAATCTGCCAGCCATAACCATGGAGGAAGTAGCCCCTGTGAGCGTTAGTGACGCAGCTCTCCTGGCCCCAGAGGAAGTCAAGGTAAAGGTGGCTTGGTACATACGTGACAGGTCTCCACTTTTTAGTCTCTTTCAAGATTTTGGTTTCTATTCTAACTCAGTAGTTTCTCTGTACATTGAAACGAATAATGTTGTGTAGTCAAATACCAGTTTACTGTGATCAGGTACCTCAGGCACAACTAGAATTATTACTAAGACTGTTTGTGATGTCTGATATCAGTATCTCCTTAATAAACCAATTTGAAAATTAGTAAGTTTAAAACTAGCAGTGAGGTTAAGTTTAATACTCACAGAACCCTCGCCCTTATTTTAGCCATTCACGCACATCACTAGCGGAGTCGGGTCTAGAGTAGAGCGTTTAGGGACTGGGAGGAGCTCTACGGACCAGAGGCAGGGGGCCCCTTACCGGGGACGACGACGCTCACGCCTTACACAGCAGTGATGGTGTCTTCCCTGCTGGCCCAGCACAAGCGCCTTTATCCTGCCCCACTGCTGCTCCGCCCACGCCACTCCTTCAGGGCCCGCTGCTGTGTAGCTGGAGAGAGAGAGGAGGTTGATCCTCCTTGGAGAGATGTTTCCCTTCCGTCTCTGGGAACCCCGCCCCTATCCCAGAGGTTCTCACAGCAGTGGGGCCTGGGGCCCACCTCTGCTGGTGCCCCTGAAGCCCTCGTTGGCGCTTACATGCCACGGGGCCTGCTTCCGCAGTGTGAGCTCATCAGCCCCGCTGTCCCGGCTGCCCTGGTGAAGTCCTTCATCGTGACTCTGGCCTGCCACAGGCCACGCGCCAGGCTGTCGAGCTGGGGCCGCTCTGTACAATGACGCCAGAGCTGGCCTGTGGGTCTCATTCTGCGAACTGCTTCCTCTGGCTCTGGGTTATTAGGTGAGATTAATTACTATGCCAGTGGTTATTTTTTCACAGGAGAAAAATAAAGCTGGAGATATAAAAGCACCTGCTGAGAAAACAGCTACAGACAAGAAACGAGAACGGAGGAAAAAGAAGTATCAAAAGCGCATGAAAATAAAGGAAAAGGAAAAGCGGAGAAAACTGCTTGAAAAGAGCAACCCAGATCAAGAAGGGAAATACAGCAAAGCAGTGGCTTCAGAGAAGCTAAAACAGCTGACCAAAACAGGCAAAGCTTCACTGCTCAAGGTAAGGATGGGGGCTAGGTGAAGTGTCTTTGGGGGGAAGCAAAAGGCAAGCTGTGGGTGACGTCAGCTGGAGGGACTGAGCCCGAGAGAGAGGGAGAGGCTACCCGTGAGGCCTGGGATTTTCAGCTCAGGGACCTCACGGTGACGTGGGCCTGGCCATGCTTTCTCTCCCACCCCCTTTGCCAGATGCGCAGAACGCCTGTAATGCTGGTGTTGAGTGGAGTGATGTTTTGCATTAGTTCTTCTAGCCTTTTTCACATTTAAGCTTCTATACACTCACTGATCATTTTTATCCATTTATAGCAATCACAATTGTGTAACTACAGTTTATAAACATGAGTGTGTATTATTTTTAATTACAGGATGAAGGTAAAGACAAAGCCCTAAAGTCATCTCAAGCCTTCTTTTCTAAATTACAAGATCAAGTAAAAATGCAAATCAGTGATGCAAAGAAAACGGAAAAGAAAAAGAAAAAGAAAGACATTTCTGTTCATAAATTAAAGCTATAATGTATTTCGAATACAATGTAAATATGATGTGTAAACTTGTATACTGTCATTGTTTTATAATAAAACTTTTCAGAACTCTTGTGTGAATGGTGGAGAATTCCAGTTTGAAAAGACCAAGTCCAAACTGTGCAAGCCCTATGTTGCATCAAGTTGGACACGGTTCACAGAGCCCTTGCCCTGCTGCCAGGGCCTGCCTGAAGGCAGCGGGCACCCCCGTCAGTGAGGGTGAGGTGGCTGGGGGTGAGAAGGATCTCATGTTATCCTTGATGAAATGCATTAAGCTTTATTGCAGATGGAAGGTACGGAAACCTGAGGTTTAGCAGAAGCAGTAGGGAGTGTGCTTTGGTTTTTCATCGAAGGGATAATCCCAGTGGTCAAGAAGAGCCTAGGGCTGGTCCCCTGTCTTCCTGTGTACTGTGCAGGAGTGGCCTTGATGGTGCCCCTGTCAATACTCAATTTTCCTTCTAGGACAGAGTTCTCTTTACCAGTGTTCCGGGCTGCTAAAAGCCTAATGGAGTAAACGCTGGTCTCACTCTAATCTTAGTGTTGTTTTTATTAGTGGTGATTTGACTTACATGGTCCCCAGAGTTACTGTTTTTTTTTTACTCTTTAAATTCAGACATGTTTTCAGTTCCCTCACTGCAAGTTCTCTTTCCCTTCATTATTTCTCTCATAATTTGTCAAAACCCAGATGATTGATCTGGGAGGAATGATTCCTTTTATCTAAGGGAGTTTGATAATATGCAGAGAGAAGTCCTCTTTATGTCCTTTCCTTCCCCAAACATTAAAATGTAATGTTTAATACATTATATTCTTTTGCAATAGAGTAAGTCTTCACCATCATCCGTGAGTTCTTGAAGATTACACATTTTAGGGAGAAGACATAAAAGTAGATCCTTGAATGTTTCAGAATGACAAAACATTCAAAGACCTGCTGTACCTGAGTGCCAGGCACTGTGCCAGGTACCAGGGATACAACTGAGCAAAACAGTTACGAACTCTTAACCTTAGGATGTGTGTATTCTGGAATGCATCATACCTTACTCTGAGGCATGCTATAGCATCTACAAAAACAAAATAAGCTGTTCTCCAACTGATCTAGCAAAGAGGTGAAGGAACTACAGGTACGAACTGTTTATCACTTTGTGTCATATCTTCACATACTCCTAGTCCAACACATTGTATACTATTTGAATTTTATGAAAATAGGACATTTTATCTACAGCTTTTTTCACTAATTTCCCTCACATTTATCCACCATGCCTTTATTTTCAGTTTCATAATATTGTGTGAATAAAGTACCATTTTATTCATTCATTCTCTTAACATTTATTTCCAGTTTGACAGAACAGTGCCATTATGACCATCTTCTTCCCACACACAGTAGCTCCAGTGTTTTTTACAAATTGCTGGATGGAAAGTTCTAAAGTTTTGAATCATTTTTCAAAGTAGTTGTACATACTTGAGTCCTTTATTTGGCACTATTTAGCACTGATGGGATTTAAGTCGTTTTTGCATTTCTGCCGAATATAAAGTGGTATACCTGTGTGGCCTAAAGTTATGTTTTTTACTTGAAATATTTTGTTATATTCTATATCTTTTTAAATCTCTACAGTTACAGAAAAATTCCAATACATTTAGCCACGTCTGTTTTAGTTCTCTTTTCTGTACGATCTGAGAGGGAACTAAAAATGTTTTTGATTATAAGTCGTTTGTCCTAAAGTTGTGTTGACTTAAAGATATGCTGAAAGCTATCTTTGGGCTATAATCGGCTCCTTTCTTCAGAATGCCCGGTGAAGCGGTGAAGCTGCGTGCTCATTGATTTACCTTTTTACCTGCTCCTTCGCCATCATTTAAAAATTAAATCGTACACCTTCACAAATAAAAGCGAACAACAGTATGAACGGCCCCAAGATCACTACTCCCCAATGACTCCAGTACGTCTCATTTCTTTGCCTTGGAGGTTAGTCACACTTCCCACCCTCGGCAGGTGCCAGGTGCGCTCTCTGCGCGTCTCCCTTCACCGCGGGTGCCGGGTCTCCCCCCAGGAGGCCCTTTCACTTTGACCCAGCAACTTTCCCGTGCGCTGGAGAAAGGGACCCTCAGACTGTACCTGCAGGGTTGCACCGGGCGGTCCGCTGCCTCCAGAAGAAAGCCCCCGAGTCGCCCCCTAGGGCTTCGCCGCGTCCTCCACGCCGGCTGGCTGGCCGGGGAGATCGATCACTCGCGTCTCTACTTGCCGAGCCTGTGACGAGCCAAGACGCGGGGATCGACTGGGACTGTCTGGAACCTTCTGCGCGCGGCGCCTGGTGCGAGCTCCGGGCAGTGGGGTGGGGGTCGCGGCACGCGGTGGAGGGGGG